GCTGGCTTTCAAGCAGTACAAAATGATTTTGGATTTGGAAAATGGCAAGACTTGTGAAAGGGTTCTGATTAAAAAATATTCTATATGTTCTAATGTGTGCAATGTGGATGTTCATTTTTTTTCTCTCTGGATTTAAAATAAATGAAATATACTTCTAACCTCAGAAATAAAGTGGAAGATCTTTCACAGAAAAGGTAGCATGAACTATAAGTGCCTGATATGGTAAAAGAGTTATTTTTGTGTTGGATGACATGACCCTAGAGCTATCTGTAACACTATGCTTGACCTTGGATGAGTTTCTCAGATGAAAGGACAGAATGATATCAGTTTATTTATCAAACATTTCTTTCTTGGGCATGCTCAGATCCTCAGGATTTGAAGCACTTCCCAGGTTTCTAGGGAGACAGGGCAGCATCCACATCATCTTTGCCTCCTAGTCCCTGATAGTGTCTTGTTTTGTGGTTTGCTTTTAGGCTGTTGCATTGTGGTATTCAGGTTCTCCCTGGGTTTTCCCATCTAAGCCTTGGCAATGGAAGCAAAGAAAGTAGGTTGGGCTGCTTGCACAGGTGGGTAATAGCTAGAAAGAAGAGGGTTTAGTTTAAATTGTTATTGCCTGGCACCAACCAGGCTCTCTCCCAGGTATCACACTTGCATTTGTGAGTAGTAGCAAACATGTGTGGCAAAAAAGAAATAGTAGTTAAATATAGGTGACATACCATTTCCAACATTTTGAATGTGATATGCTTAAGCACTAACTTTGTACTAAATACTATTCTAGGGCTGGGAAGGTGGCTCGGTGGTAGAGAGCTTGCCTTGCATGCATGAGGCCCTGGGTTCAATTACTCAGCACCACATAAGCAGAAAAAAAAGCCGGAAGTGGTGCTGTGGCTCAAGTGGTAGAGTGCTAGCCTTGATCTGAAGAGCTGAAGGACAGCGTCCAGGCCCAGAGTTCAAAGACCCATGACTGGACCCCAAAAAACCCCTAAATACTATTCTATTTAAAAGCAGAATATTTAATAGGAGAAGATGAGGGAGTATGGAGGAAGGGTTGCTTCACCAGGAGCTGATATGTCTGAGGAGATAACATTTATGTCAAGAACTGAGAAGAAGGAATTAAAAAAGGACTTTTATCAGTCAACACAGGAAGGATGTGCAAAGCCTTTGAGTCAAGAGAAAATATGTCATGTGAGAGAGACAGGAAACACATATGTCTTCCAAGGTTGAGCATCAGGTATAAAATACACTTGTTTGTTTTAGTACAGGATCAAAATGATTACAGATTCCTTTAGGAAAGCCAAAGGAGAAACAATTTTGAGGTCCAAGCCTCAGAACCAGACCAGTCACAATCACTCTATCTAAAGAAAAGAAAATAGAAAATTACTTAGACATATCAGATCTTTCTTCAAGCTACTAGTCAGAAAAAGAAGAGGAAAAAAATGGAGCATGGAGGACAGAAATGTCCACATAATGTACTAAAATCTCCTGCTGTGTACTTGATAGAAATAAAGAAAATAAGAATTTTAGTTCTAAATCCACAAGCAAGAGCAGCTACCCTGATCATTGCAACTCTATATAAAAGGACATAACTAGGCACTGGTGGCTCATACCTAGAATCCATGTTATTTAGGATGCTGATATGCCATGGATGATACTTCCTAAAGTTAATTTCATTGCTTTTGTGAATACCATAGTACATTGTTTGCTCCTGTTCTCTACTCCACCTTGTAACAACAGTAGCTCTTTGCTGTTTCTAGCTCTTAGTATTGAATATTTGAAGACTGTTTCTTGTCCTGTTTTAACTTTATTTTTTAACACTTTGAATTGTCTAGCATTGTTTGTAAAGTCAACAAATATTAATATAGCATGGGTTCTTTGATCTCAGACCCAAAATGAAAGTGGGGAAAGAAGGAGGAAAGGAAGGGGAGAAAAACAGAGAGGGGGAGAGGGATAGGAAAAGGGAAGTTGGAGAAGCAAGAGGGAAAGAAAGGAAGGAAGAAGGAAGAGGAAGACGTAAAAGAGGAAGAGAAAAGGAAGGGAAGAGAAGAAAAGGAAAGAAGGAAGGAAGGAAGGAAAAAGGAAGGAGGAAAAGAAGGAAGAAAGGAAAGAAGGAAGGGCCCTCTTAAATTCAATAGGAAGGAATTGAGCTTCAGACTTCATGGAAGGGACACCATGAGACGAGGTTAAAATACTCAGGCCCACTATGTTGAACATTTTGATTTAAAACACTAGCTAGTTCTCCTGTGATCACTGAAATTCTCTCTAAGATTAGCACAATGTTTCAATTCAGCTAGCATTTTGTTTTCTATGTGAATAAATTTAAAAAATGTATTTACTCTGTTTAATCATAGTGAAAATCTGAAGATTTCATATACAAGTTTAATTAACAGGAAACTATTTGTATCCTAAGTATACCTTGCTGTCATTGTGCTTGAAGAGATTTAGTGAGACTATCAGAGCTGCTTTAGGGGCTTTTGATGAAAGGAAGTTCCATAGTATCAGCAGTCTCTAGCTTTGTGCATGTCGTTGAAAATAATATCCAGCCAAGTAGTGGTAAGAAAACCCAGAAAGGAGCTCTAAGTCAGAACTTGGGAGAATTGGGGCAAAAGTAAGTCTATCAGTTTTACATATTATCTCAGGAAAGTTACAGGGTGCCTTCATCTTTTTTCAACTTAGAATTAATATCCTACCATTGTCTTTGAAATTCAGGGAGTTGATGGACTGTTCTCACTTTTTATTGGTAAGAATTAAATAATATATGAAACTGTTGTCTCTAGTCTACTGTCAGTTTCTAGTCACCCCAATGATTTGAAACATGATTATAAACCTTCACAAACCCTGTTTTATGTATGGTCCCATGGTGACTGAAGTTTGCAGAACTGTAGAACAACAAACAGGCTTTACATCTGCCTTGTAGTGCCAGGGTTTCATCTATCACTCTTTCTCAGCCCATGACTGACCCTCTACCACTTGAACCACTCCCCAAGTCTGGCTTTTAGCTGGTGAATTGGAGGTAGACACTTGTAAACCTTTCTTTATAGGATGGCTACTCTCCTGAGTAGCTAGGATGACAAGTGAGAGCCTGTACTTCCTGGTTTGTCCTGTATTTTCCTTCCATTCATAGTTAACCCTGCAGGGCACTTGCATCTGAAAGAAGAGTTTTCAGACTTTGACTCTGGTTGTTGGCTGTCTGTGACCTGAGAATAAGTAACTTCTCCAAGTTCTAGCAGGCCACTTTTTTCTCTTTTACAAAGCGATGAAAGATATAAACCTCTTCAGTACATATCATTCCTAATTTGACTTTCATTTTTAGATATAATTCCATGTCATCAATTTATTTTAAGTCAGGCCTTTTGATACTCATTCTATGAAATAATATTTCAGAGTTTTAGACCAATTATTTGTAATTTTATATTATGTTTCCTTACTTTTTAGACTGTGACAGTTTCCTAGAACAGTGGGGATGATGTGGACAGAAATCACACACCAGGTCACCAATTAGAAAAATACTAGTGTGTTCTGGTGGGAATTCTCAAACCTATCAGATTCGTACATTCCTGAAGCTAAATTCATGGTTGTTATGACCAACAGTTGTCATTATGTGCAATGTGTAAATGTTCTCTTAAATAGATTTTTAAATTAAAACAGTAAATTGGGCATACTGACACATGGGAATCTGAGGCAGGAGAATGATGAATTAAATACCCTGACTCAAACACAAAACAGCACACACAGATAGATAGATAGATAGATAGATAGACAGACAGACAGACAGACAGACAGATAGATATGCATTTTGTGTTCATGTTATTTTCAAGAAAATGCATATAAATATATGTATGTGTATATACATATATACTTCATTAGCCTTCTGTTACTCATGTATTTGAGATCTCTGCATAATGGTGACACAAATAATTATAAGAGAGACAATGACTGCAATGTAGGGAGTCAAACCAACAAGATATAACTAAGACAAAGTCATGGGTACGTGTTTTCCAATTTTACTTATCTTGGTGAAATTTATAACTCTTTCAATCATCCTATGTATATATCCCTTGTCCACACCTCCAGTAAGAGAACTCTGGTCTTGGGCATAAGGAAATCTAAACTTATATTAACTTGACCCTAATGTTCTTGAACAGTACACCCAACTGGTGTCTCATAAAGTCCAAATTAGGTTCTGTTCTTTGCTAGCAAACCAATGAGTCGTATGATTTGTCAACACCTTCCATAAAGACCAGAAAACTAGCTTGGTATTTATATGGAATAACAGGCTGCTGAATTTCTTTAGCACACATCCAAAGAGATATGCAGTGGATGCTCCCCTACTTCCCAGCAGGGAAATCTTCCCAATGTTGAAAGATACTCGTGTCTCTTGTAGTTACCCTGTGAGATCCCCAGCTCCCAAAGCTGTGCCAAGGACAGGTTGGGTGAAACCCAACTCCCAGACTGATCAAACTCCCAGGGATCATGTAAGGTGGTGGGGGGCAAAAAGCCCACAGGAATTCCACAACACCGTTGAATTCCTCCACCTAAACGAAATGCATTTAGTGTGCAAGATTCAAGTCCAAGAGAGAGGGGCATGAAGCTGTGATGACAGTTGGTGCCCTGGAGCCTGATGTGAGTAGATAATGCCTGTGGACAAGTGCTTGTGCTCACTGTAGATAAGAAATGTGGAGGAGGGTCCTGGATGGACTATGGAAATAGTAACTCAGATACTAGGATTGCAAGGAGGTAGATGGGCGGAGAGCTTTCCCAATTCATGCTGAGGCCAGGGGCTGCCTGGGCCACTAGCATCTGTGTGACCATCAGAAGAATGTGGGGTTCAAACGTTCCTTTGAGGCTGCTGCTCACCCTCCGCATGCACGCATGGTCTGTGGAATGGGCAGGTGATGTCACAGAGGCCAAGCTGGGCAGTGCGTCCTCAGCGACCCGAGGAGAAGGATCGCTGCTGCTGCTCCTCCCTCTCATAGCTGATAATTCGCACATATTTCCCCGTCATGGGAAACTTTCTCAGTAAATCGTATCTTGAGCTGCGCGGCCTCACCTTCCCGAGGTGGGTTCGCAGAGCAGGACCCGAGCCTGCACGCTGCCCTGTCTGTAGGAAGGTCAGGCCGGTTCCCAGGCCAGCGCCACCACCAGCCCGTCCACCTAGGGCCCCCAAGAGGAGGTGCCCTCTGCCGGAGGCCTCGGACACCACCCGGGGGCAGGGCCCTTCAGCGTCTCCAGAGCGATCGCCAAAAAGACCTGCGCCTCTGCTGCCAACTGGAGACTCGGGGTTGGAAACCCCCAGAAGCCCAAGCACCCCTTCGGGTCAGCTCGAGTCCACACCTCGAATTGCAACACCCAGGCCGCGCAATCATCTTGTGGTGCCCAAGATGCCGTGGGACGTCCCTCTTCCTGATTCAAGCAGCGCAGAGTTTGAAGGCCAAGAGGGTGAGTTCAAAATTCAGGGAGACCATCAGGGACAGGCCAGTGGGAGGGGAGACCTAGCAATGGAGCAAAGGCACCATGCCGTTCTGTGACCATCAGGAGAGACTTACTCTCAATTGATGCTGCCTTACTCCCCAGCCGGGGACTCTTCCCAGTGTGGAAAGGAATGAAAAGGTACTTGTGTCTCCTCTAGTTACCCAATCTCATGGCTGTGACATTCCTAGCTCGCAAAGCTCCACCGCAGACAAGCTGGGTGAAAACGAACCCCCGAATGGCTCACGCTCCCAGGAGTCAGGTAAGGTGGTGGAGGGCAAAAAGCCAACCACAAGTCCACCACCAGACTCCCAGGAGTCAGCGAAGGGGGTAGTGGGTAAAAAGCTCAAAGCTTATCCAACACAAGACTCCCAAGCGTCAGCGAAGATGGTGGACAGTTGAAAGCCCAGAGCTCATCTACCAGACTCTCAGGAGTCAGCGAAGGGGGCAGTGGATGTAAAGCCCAAAGCTCGTCCACCACAGGACTCCCTGGAGTCAGTGAAGGGGGTGGCAGTTGAAACACCCACAGCTAGACCACCAGCAAGCCCTACTACCCCAAATCTGGCAGCTCGCAGAGCATCCAAAAGGAAAGCAGCATTGCCATCAGCTCTTCCTTTGCCAGAGATTGTGCCAGTACCAATACAGTGGGGTGGCAGTGAGCTTCCCCCACCTCCTAAACTTCCATGCATGGACATGGAGAAAGACGTGGACATTTGTAACACCACTCAGTCTATTCACAGTAAAATCTGTAATACAAAATGATCAGGGAGGAGAACAGAAGTGACAGATGGCAGTGACATCAACACTGCCTCTTCTGTTCCTCCATCTGATTCAGAGACTTATGTCTTCGTGACCCTGCCTACCTGCACTTTAAACATCCCAGCTCTTCTCAACACCACTAATGTGGAAGAGCAGGCTGCTGGGGCCAACATTGTGCCAGCACCCTCATCAAACTCTAACGAGGGTCTAGCACCTAAAATCCTCATTTCCTCTTTGGCTCCTCCTGCAGACTCTCCTCCTTTTGGTACCCCAGCTTCTCAACTAGGGGTTCTAAATGATAAAAATGGAAACCATGCTCCTTTAATGAGAGCTGCAACTCCTACCACTTCTCTCTCCTCCAAACTTTACCTTCCTGTTTATTCCCTTCTCCCCTGCACAAAGGAATCTAACACTGCTACTTCTCTTGATTCCTGTCCTCTTCCCTTCTCCACCCTTCCTGTAGTCCCACTTCCCATTAACACTACCACCACTGATTTGGCTACAGCCGCCCCCAGTGTATCCTGTCATGTGAGCCTGCAGCCGGCCACAGATGAAGATATTGTTCAGATGGATACCACACCTCCATCTGCAGCCGTCATTTACTCATCTCCCCAAGTCTCCACCATTGACTCCTGTGCATTGCTTCAGGCTCCCAATAGCTTGCAACAGGGAAACTTTATGAATGGGCCAGTACCCAGCGGCCCACCTATACCTCCCCCACAACCAGTACCTCAGGTTCCCTATGGCCTGCAACCAGGACACTTGCCGAATGGGCCAGTGCCCACCAGCCCACCAGTACCCCAGGCGCTCTGCAGTCCACCTCAGGGCCATGTCACCGTGGGCCCAGACCCCACTGCCCCTGCAACACCCTATACCTATCCAGTTCCCCAAATCCCCTGCAGTCTGTACCAGGGGCAACTTGGGATGGGGCTAGCCCCCACCAACCTACCTCCTACCAGGGGGTCCTGTTCTTCCCAAACCTTGGTCCCTCAAAATGATCACTATTCCACCAATTCCATCACTGTTGTGCAACCACAGCACACAGTGTCACATAGTGACTCTATTTCCAGCAAGCAATACCCCCACAATCAGTTTATACAGTCTCAGCACATGCAGGGACCCAGCCCAAATACTGGCCATCCATCTAGTGCTAGTGCCCTTCCACACCCCACACTTGGGGTTTTCAGTGGACTACCTGATAACAATTACTCTCTGAGCCAACCAGTACCCTTCCAAACACCAGTTATTGACCTAACTGTGCCTACAATGCAACCACCTAATGACTCTGTCAATGTGATCCCTCTTGTGCAGCAGTTGCACAATCCCTCTCTTCCGATATGTTATGGACCTCGGGTTCTTCCCAGTATGGAGCAAGCAATTGTCCCTATTCCTGAAAATTGTTCTTCCACACCAACGAAACTATTCATGGACAATGATATGATGGATACAACACCTCCTTCAGAGGCTTCAATCTATCCATCTCCAACCGTCTTGACAAACAACCTCTCTGTAGTGAACCAGGACCATTCTGCTCCTGCCCATGTGCCACACAGTGGCATTATTTCCAGCAACCAAGACTCCCACAGTCAGTTTATACAATCCCAGAACATGCCGGGGCCTAGCCCACACACTGGCCATCCATCTAGTGCTGGTGCCCTTCCACACCCCACCGTCGGGGTCTTCAATGGACAACCTGACAGTTTGTCTCTGAGCCAACCAGTACCCTTACAAACACATTATTGACCTAACTGTGCCTACAATGCAACCATCTAGTGCCACCAACATACAAACAGGACATATGGCCATGCCAATGCCTGTGCCCGCAGTGAACGCTGATATTACTCCCCAGCACACCTCTTGTAGTGACTCTTCTGGTGTTTGCAACACTGCCAGACAGAAAACTCCTGGCAAGAAAATCTCCAGACGCACAGGCTCTCATGACACTAATACATCCCTGATCCAAGCTACTCCTGCAACAAATATTGGCCATCCACCTAGTGCTAGTGCTCTTCCAGACCCCACACTTGGAGTTTTCAGTGGGCAATCCAACAATTTCTCTCTGAGCCAACCAGTATCCTTTCAAACACCAGTTATTGACCTAACTGTGCCTACAATGCAACCACCTAATGACTCCATCAATGTGATCCCTGTTGTGCATTAAATGCACAATTCCTCTCTTCCGATATCTTCTGCTCCTCCAGTCTTCCCCAACATGGACCAAGCAGTTGTCCTTATTCATGGAAGTGGCTCTTCCCCACCAATGAAATTATCCATGGGCGATGACGATAACATGATGGATACAACATCTCCTTCAGAGGTTTCAATCTTTCCATCTCCTCCCATCTTGACAAACAACCTCTCTGTAGTGAACCAGGCCCATCCTGCTCATGCCCATGTGCCACACAGTGACATTATTTCTAACCAACAGGACTCCTACAATCAGTTTATACAATCCCAGCACATGCCGGGGCCAAGCCCACACACTGGCCATCCATCTAGTGCTGGTGCCCTTCCACACCCCACCACTGGAGTCTTCAATGGACAGTCTGACAGTTTGTCTCTGAGCCAACCAGTACCCTTGCAAACACCAATTATTGGCTTAACTGTGCCTACAATGCAACCACCTAATGACACCAACATACAAACAGGACTTATGGGCATGTCCATGCCTGTGACTTCAGTGAACGCTGATAATACTCCCCAGCACACCTCTTGTAGTGATTCTTATGGTGTTTGCAACACTGCCAGACAGAAAACTACTGGCAAGAAAATCTCCAGACGCACAGGCCCTCATGACACTAATTCATCCCTGAACCAGGCCACTTCTGCAACAAATACTGGCCATCCACCTAGTGCTAGTGCCCTAGCACTATCTTGGATATGCCCAAAATCTGTTTGGTTGTCTGTCTGGCCTCATTTGGTGGCACCACGACGTCCTCGTGACATCATCATGCAGTCAGGACATGTGGCCACAACATCACCTGTGCCTGCAGTGAACCCTGCCATTACTCCCCAGCAGGCCTGTTGTAGTGACTCACATAGTGTTTTCACACTGCCACACTTGTGAAAACTGGCACAAAAACTGCAGACTAGCAGGCTCTGGTGACCCTAATTCATCACTGAACCACGTTATGCTTGCAGCAGCATCCACAATGGGAGATGAAGTAACTTGAAGTAAGTACAAAGGTTTGAATTCAGGGGTCTTCATACTTGTTTGATTGCTTGGCCAGTGGTCTACCACTTGAACCATGTCTCTAGTCCAGCTTTTTGATGTTTAATTGGAGGTAGAATATCTTAGACTTATCTGTCTGGGTGGGCCTTGAAGTATGATCTTCTGCATCTTACTTTCTGGAATAGGTAAGATTACCAGCAGGAGCTTCCTGTACCCCATTTGTAGGAATTCCTCATGTGCTCCCCATTCTGTCTTCACATTTTTTATTTATTTTTATTTAGTTTTGGTTGGTGTGGGGCCTGAACTCTGGGCCTGGCACTGTCCCTTAGCTCTTTAGCTCAAGACTAGCTCTCTGCTACTTGACCAGAGCTCCACTTCTGGCTTTTTCAGCTTATGTGGTGCTTAGGAATAAAACCCAGGGCCTCAGGTATGCAAGGCAAGCACTCTACCACTGAGCCACCTTCCCAGCTGTGTCTTCACATTTTTAAATGACATTAGTTCCAGAACTTAAAAACATTTGCATTTCCCAATACCAGTACATGAACAAAAAAATTGGATGCAAGTTATACCATCTCAAATCTGCATTTCTTGAATCAAACTAGAGGATAGACTACTATTTAGAAAGGAAATATTTGTGAATGATAAAGTATTCCATCCTCTCAATTGCTGTGTAGTATGATTTTTACCAGGTATAATAATATAAAACAGTAAAAATGATACAATTTTAAATAAAATAATTCCAACAAAATAATGCAGGTTTTACAAGGGAAGTTAGTGAATATGGAAACATGGGTGCTATAGGAGAGAGCTATTGAGGTTTGAACATCAGCTTTGGGCTGGGAGTATAAGTATGTAGATATCTTCGTTTGTAAGTAACCTGAAACATTTCTTGTCATTCAAACAAAAAAAATGAGTCAACATAAAGATAGAGGTGTTTACTAAACATTTTGGGATTTTTGGACCCCTAAGGAGAAAGCTGTTACTGGCTCTGAGTTTTCTGCTTGCTTTTGTGGAGTCAGGGAGTTGAAAAATCATGGGATCCTGAGTAGGTCTAGTTCTTTTCCTCCAAGTTCCATAAAGTACTACTTTGTGGGTGGAATCCAGTAAGCCTCCCTGCTGGCAGGGATTTGTGAGCATCTGAAATACCTCAGGCTCTCAGTCCCGGTGTCTTGAGGCACCAGGCTCAGTTCCCTGTAGAAGACATCATTAAGTGACAATGTAAAGAGCTACACAGAATCAAGGACTCTCCAGTGTCTAGTAACGGGTACTGAATGCTAAATCCTTTGAAGACCCTGAGTTCTGTAATTTAAAATTAGTAACTATACAAAATTTAAGGTGCAAGTAGGCTTTAAAATTCAGTCAGGGATCCATAAATTATAATACTAGCCACTTCGGAAACAGATATTAAGGGATTGTAATTCAAAGCCAGCCTGAGCATAGAAGTACATAATACTCCATCTCAACAATGAAGGGCTGTGGTGGTGTAAGCCTGTTATCCCAAACTACGGAGAAAGCACTATGGCTGGGCACAATGGCACTTGCTTGTCAGCCTAGTGACAAAAGGAAATACAGGAGAATAACAGTCCAGGCTGGTCATAAAATCAGACACTCCCAAAATTAATCCAAATCAACAAACTGTTTATCAAAATAACTACCAGGAAGAGGAGATGGGTTCAGTGGTTTTAGCGATGAGAGGTAATTAAAGAATAAAGGGAGAAAGTGAAAATTTACACATACATGCGCACACGTGCGTGTGTGCACACACAACACACCCAAGCCAAGAATGTGCTAGAGGCATTGTTCAAATGGTACTTGCCTAGGAACTGTGAGACTTGAGCTGAATCCCAATACTAGAATGGTGAGAGAGAGAGAGAGAGAGAGAGAGAGAGAGAGAGAGAGAGAGAGAGAGAGAGAGAGAGAGACTGAATTAGTTAACTACAGAAACAGGAAGAAGAAAAGAAAAATGAGAAGAACAAGAAGCAGCAGCAAAAAGGAATAAAAGAAATAAAGAATGGGCTTAGGATAGACTATACTTAAGGATCTTTGGAAGGGAGTCATTAAAAAATGCCCTGTTCCATAATAATTCTCTCCCAGATCCTCAATGTGTTCCTTCTGTTCTTCATTTTTCTCATATTGATACACAGGTAATGACAACAGTGAACCTTTAAAATGATTTCAAACGATACTTTTGACAATGTTCATGAGGCCTAGTTGAACATCACGATTCCACACCCTGTTCTCTGTATTACCTGTTGGGCTGGAGGTGAAACCACAAAATCTAACTTAATGCACCTGCCTATATCAGTTACTCAGTCAACACAAACCCAGAGTACTTCTTCCAGGAGCTCCAGGAAGAGATCAGTGAGACTACACAGAAGGCAGTTAGGCAGAGGGAAGGATATCAAGGCAAGTGACTATTTTGCTTTTCTTTCCTACTGGTTTCATTTAGTAATTGTGAATATTCAAAATTAATTAGCATAGAAAAGGTGACTCTTCTATTCTGGGAATAGAAGGGAGCAAGAGGAGAAAAAGGGGGCACAGGACGACTGTTCAGCCAAAGGGAAAGGAGGAGAAAATGGAGGAATGGAGGTAGAAAGAAGGAAGGAAGACAGGAAGGAAGGATAGAAGGAAGGAAGGAAGGAGGGAAGAAAGGAAGGAGGGAAGGAAGGAAGGAAGGAAGGAAGGAAGGAAGGAAGGAAGGAAGGAAGGAAGGAAGGAAGTGCTCTTTTTAAAAGCTATAAGATGCCAGGAGCCAGTGGGTCATGCTTTGAATACTAGCAGGATCACTGTTCAAAACGAACCCAGGCAGGAAATTCCCTAAAACTTTTAACTCCAGTTAGCCACACAAACCTGGAAGTGCTTTCACTCAAGTGATAGAGCACTAGCCTTGAGGAGAAAAGCTCAAGGACAGAGCCACACTCAACAAATACAAAAAAAATTGTGATTATGTAGCTTCAGACTTCATTGAAGAGAACACCATGAGACAAGTTTAAAACACTTAGACTTGCTATGATGAACATGTTTTAATATAATAACACTAGCCAGTTCTGCTGCAATCACCAAAGTTCTCCTTAAGATTAGCACAATGTTTTAGCTCAGCTAGCATTTTGCGTTCTATGCAAAGAAATTTGAAAATGAGTTTATTCTGTTTAAACACAATGGGCATAAACTCAGGCAAGCAAACAATAGTAGATTTCCTTTGACTTTCTGAGACTCCAAAGACATTCCAAAGGCTGAAAATGTTCTCGGAAATAAGTCATTTTTCCACTGTGTCACAATTGAAGCATTGTAAGGAGCACATTATCCTGTGTACTACAGACTGTGTTGAGTAAGACAAAAGGATTCTCTATAATTCTGTTTTGATGGTTTAGCTTAAGGGCTAAGAAGTGCTTCTCTGTACTTCATCCTCTGGGAGTTTTTGAGAATCGTAATATTTCACCTAACAGGTTAATTAACAGAGAACTATTTCCACCTTAAGTACACACCGTTGCCACTTTGCTTGAAGAGAAGCTGTTTATTTGCTCTCATCTCATGATTTTTTTAGTGAGAATATCAGAGCTGCTTTAGGGGA